CAAGAGCATAATTCCGTCAGTTTTCCATCAAATTTCGTTTTTTTTTTTTGTGTCATTACATTCGGGAAAAGATTCTCTATCATGTCCTAAGAAAAAATAATTTTTTTTTTTTAAATTTTGCGACACCAGGAGACACCTCAGGACTGGGGGTTGCGACAGTCAAAGGGTTAAACACTTGTTCAGGTTTAAATTCTTCACTGTCTATGTAATCCTTGAATTCCTTCACATCTTTTTCAGCTGCTTTTTGGTCCGAACTGGCAGCCTCACCATGCCTAATCACATATGTATGCCACTACGATTCTTAAATCTTTGAAACCAACCTTTGCTGGCCTTAAATTCACTCACATTACCACTAGTTGCAGGCATTTTTTCAATTAAATCCTCATGCAACTTCCTAGCCTTTTCACATATGATCGCTTGAGAGATGATATCTCCTCTGATCTGTTTTTCATTTATCCACACCAATAACAGTCTCTCAACATCTTCTAACACTTGTGATCTCTGTTTTGAAAACAGACATGCACCTTTTGCAAGAACAGCTTTCTTGATTGCCGTTTTCCTGGCCACTATAGTAGCGATGGTTGATTGGGGTTTTGTATAGAACCTGGCCAGCTCCGACACACGCACTATACTTTCATACTTTGCCATTATCTCCTTCATTTCAATAGTCATTAGCACCCTTTTCCTCGAAGGGTTGGCACTAGAAGCTTTCTTGGGGCCTATCGTGACTTATTTTGCAGAAACAAGCACCAAAAACACTGTGATAATATGGAATGTACCGAATGTATGCTTAGATGCGAGCACACTGGCTGGCTTGTAAACACTGGCACGCACGGGGCAGTTCAGGCCACATGTGGACGTGTCCCGGACAAATCGCGCATGGCGGGTTTTTTAACGAGTGGCGAGGCAAAATTTTTGCGTTAAAATGTATCGTATGCCAGATTTAACGTATACCGATGCCATCGAATGCCGGGGGTCCACTGTATTTGGGAGTTGACGTATCAGCGGATGGATTTATGAAGGATGAGGTTAATCACAGAACTAATGAAGGAAAAAATGTGAGTGGTGCATTGAGGTATATGTGGAGACAAAAACATTTTATTTATGGAGGCAAAGAAGGGAATGTATGAAAGCATAGTAGTACCAACACTCTTATATGGATGTGAAGCTTGGGTTGTAAATGCTGCAGAGAGGAGGCGGTTGGAGGCAGTGGAGATGTCCTGTCTAAGGGCAATGTGTGGTGTAAATATTATGCAGAAAATTCGGAGTGTGGAAATTAGGAGAAGGTGTGGAGTTAATAAAAGTATTAGTCAGAGGGCTGAAGAGGGGTTGTTGAGGTGGTTTGGTCATTTAGAGAGAATGGATCAAAGTAGAATGACATGGAGAGCGTATAAATCTATAGGGGAAGGAAGGTGGGGGAGGGGTCGTCCTCGAAAAGGTTGGAGAGAGGGGGGGTAAAGGAGGTTTTGTGGGTGAGGGACTTGGACTTCCAGCAAGCATGTGTGAGCGTGTTAGATAGGAGTGAATGGAGACAAATGGTATTTGGGACCTGACGAGCTGTTGGAGTGTGAGCAGGGTAATATTTAGTGAAGGGATTCAGGGAAACCGGTTATTTTATATAGCTGGACTTAAGTCCTGGAAATGAGAAGTACAATGCCTGCGTTTTAAAGGAGGGGTTCAGGATATTGGCAGTTTGGAGGGATATGTTGTGTATCTTTATACGTGTATACTTCTAAACTGTTGTATTCTGAGCACCTCAGTAAAAACAGTGATTATGTGTGAGTGAGGTGAAAGTGTTGAATGATGATGAAAGTATTTTCTTTTCGGGGATTTTCTTTCTTTTTTGGTCACCCTGCCTCGGTGGAAGACGGCCAACTTGTTTAAAAAAAAAAAAATCAGTATTATTACTAAGGTGTTAAGACTAGAGGGACACTCTTAGTGATTTCAATGTGTGCCTGCATGCCAGCACAGTGTCTAAGTTTATTTAGGTACAGGAACACAAGTATAATTATAAGAGTGCACATAAAATATGCAATAATTTTAAAACTTCAAATTTTGGAAAGTTTCCAGATATAATGGAGACGTGCTCATGAAGACTGTAAAGAAACCGGGTGGGGCGCGGTGACTGCATCAGAAAGACAGGGGGAGCCGTATAGGGAGTTTTGGTAATACAGTGGACCCTCGAATTTCATAATTAATCCGTTCCAGAGAGTGTGACAGTTTAAATTTACGAATGGTGAAACCATTTTCTCACATAAGAAATAATGTAAATCCAATTAATCCATTCCAGACATCCAAAAGTATTAAAAAATTTTTTTTTTTTTATTAAATATGGATTTACATACAAAAAAGAATGAGAAATCAAGTATAAAACAATAATAACATTACACTTACCTTCACTGAAGACTCTTGTTGGTGTATGGAAAACGGGAGGAGGGGAGAGGGTTAGGGTGACGTTCCTCCACAAATGTTTGCACCTCACTCCACTTTGCACAAATGTCCTTAATCTTTGAAGAAGGCACCTTCTTCCCTCTCTCTTCCTTCTCCTCTGAAGCAATTTCCTCAGCTGGTGTACATAAGAACGTAAGAAAGCAGGAACACTGCAGCAGGCTTGTTGGCCCATACTAGGCAAGTCCTTCACAACCCATCCCACTAACAGAATATTTGCCCAACCTAATTTTCAATGCTCCTCAAGCAATAAGCTTTGATAATTCTATTCACTCATGCGCAAGTCTCACTCAAATCCAATCATGTGTGGGGGGAAGTACCCTGGCTGATGTGTGCAGAAGTACCCTGGCTGGTTTGGGGAAGTACCCTATCTGGTGTGTGGGGAAGTACCCTGGCTGGTGTGTGGGAAAGTGACCTGGCTGGTGTGCAGGGAAGTGCCATGACTGGTGTGTGGGGAAGTGCCCTGGCTGGTGTGTGGGGGGAAGTACCCTGGCTGGTGTACATAACATAAGAAAGCAGGAACACTGCAGCAGACCTGTTGGCCCATACTAGGCAGGTCCTTCACAAACCATCCCATGGCTAACCCAATTTTCAATTCTCCCCAAGCAAAAAGCTTAGATAATTCTATTCGCTCGTGCGCAAGTCCCACTCAAGAACCCTGGCTAGTGTATGTTGGAAAGTACCCTGGGTGGTAAGAAAGCAGAATCACTGCAGCAGACCTGTTGGCCCATACCAGGCAGGTCCTTCACAAACCATCCCATGCCTAACCCAATTTTCAATTCTCCCCAAGCAATAAGCTTTGATAATTCTATTCACTCATGTGCAAGTCCCACTCAAATCAAATCGTGTGTGTGGGGATGTACCCTGGCTGGTGTGTGTGGGGAATTACCCTGGCTGGTGTGTTCTTTCTTGAATTCTATTGTGTTTCTTACATTCTTTACCAAAGGATTGGCACAAGGAGCTTTCTTTTGGCCCATGGTGGCTTATTTAACACTTCCTAGCACAAAAAAACAATGGATTATCACAAAATGTATCGTATGAATACGTGGGGGTGATGTTCACTTGCCAATAAACAATGTCACACTGACTGGGAATGGTGTGGGGTGCCTTCGTGTGGCACAGACGCTGGGAGGCCACTCATACGCATTCCGGACAAGCAACGAATGGCGAGGCAAATTATGAACCGCGAGGCTATATTTTGACGAAAAAAGTTGCCGAAAGTCAAAATTTATGAAGCACGTGGCTTGCAAAACTCAAGGGTCCACTGTAATTTGAAATGTCCGTAATAGCGGAAAGCCGTAAAGCGAAACGCCTTAAAGCAGGGACCTGCTGTACATGTACATATGACTTGTCACTATTTAACTAATTCAATGGCTCACCTTATCTTTAACATTTAACCCTTTGAGGGTCCATCCCATAGTTCTATGGCTTTGAAGCCAGGGTCCAAGCAGCAGTTCTATGCCATGAGCTTAGCTCACTCAGATAAGCTGTGAGCTGCAAATTTGGGCCTAGATATGAGAGAATGCATCTATGTGGTGAGTGTGCACAATATAAAACAAATCCTGCAGCACACAGTGCATAATGAAAAAAAAAAACTGAGACTGTATTTTTTGGATTAAAACTGCGACTTTGCGGTGTATTTTCATGTGTTTTTTACTGTTGTATTCATGGTTTCTTGGTCTCGTTTGATAGAATGGAAGATATATTAGAGAAATAGAGATGATTTTGATTGGTTTTAGTACAGAAAATGGCCTGAAACTGAGCTCAAAGTAGCGGAAATGTTAAATTTTTGACGATGTTCAAGAGTAAACAAATGATGTCACGTGTCCAATATATGCCAGTTGGTGGGTCTAATGTGCATTCATGAATGCGCTGATAATATTTATACAATTATTACAATATTGCATAACAGAAAATCTTCTAATTTTTTGTATGAATAAAAATTTCTATGTGAATAAAAAACCAAGATGGAACTTGTGTGTAAAGTCTGGAAATGAAACTAATAAACAGAGGAAACGTTATTTTAGTGCCAGGAATGCCTGCATTGTTTATTCTGGACCCTATTTTGAAACTGAAATATTTTGAACTTTGTGTGAAACTGGCCAAATTACCAATTTCCGATCACTTGATTGGATAGTTGAAATAGTTGACTGGGTGATTTCTTGTGTTCAAGCGATAAAATAAAAGACATACTAGTAAAATAGCTAAGAATTTGGTCAACTAGAATACTGTAATTGGCATAAAATGGGAGTCAAAGTGGGCAAAATTGCCAATGCGCAAATATTGGTGACAGAAAAATTCGCGAGGGCGTAATTTCGTCAATTTTCCATCAAATTTCATACTTTTTTTTTATTATCTTCACAAAAAATTCTCTACCATTTCATAAGAAAAAATATTTTTTTTTAAATTCTTGGACCCTATGGACACGTTTCAGATCAGGGATCTGGACCCTGAAAGGGTTAATTGTTATAAGTTCCCCAGTATCTTTAGCTACATTTTTTTAAATATTTCTGATCATAGGGAAATTTTAAATTCACAGAGGTGAACTTCAAGTGTGCAAATGTAAATTATATACATAAAGGCTGGGTTATCCCTACCTTAATATAATTTCCAACAATTGAAACATTCTTGAAGTCAAGAGCAGCATCAATCTCATCCATGACGTAGAGAGATGTTGGTTTGTAGTAATGGAGAGCAAACACCAGTGCCAAGGATGACAGCGTCTTTTCACCCCCTGATAAATTAGTAATTGTTTTCCAAGACTTTTTTGGTGGGCGAACACTGAAAAATAAATGTTAATGTAACAATTATTACTCATGTTGAAAATGGTATAAAATATAGACAAGTTGATGATTAAGACACATCTGCAACAGTTTGGTATCTTTACTGTTGAAACTGAAGAATGAGAACAGTCTTAAATACTGCTGAAGTATTTAAGACAATGTTTACATGCTTCAGCTTCATATTGTTCCAGACCATGGGGATGAACTCTTCCCCAGGCTGAGGGACTTCACCACCTTGTTCCAGACCATGGGGCTGAACTCTTCTCCAGGCTGAGGGACTCACCACCTTTTCCAGACCATGGAGCTGAACTCTTCCCCAGGCTGAGGAACTCACCACCTTGTTCCAGACCATGGAGCTGAACTCTTCTCCAGGCTGAGGGGCTCACCACCTTGTTCCAGACCATGGAGCTGAACTCTTCTCCAGGCTGAGGGACTCACCACCTTGTTCCAGACCATGGAGCTGAACTCTTCTCCAGGCTGAGGGACTCACCACCTTGTTCCAGACCATGGAGCTGAACTCTTCTCCAGGCTGAGGGACTCACCACCTTGTTCCAGACCATGGAGCTGAACTCTTCTCCAGGCTGAGGGACTCACCACCTTGTTCCAGACAATGAAGCTGAACTCTTCTCCAGGCTAAGGGACTCACTACCTTGTTCCAGACCCTGGAGCTGAACTCTTCTCCAGGCTGAGGGACTCACCACCTTGTTCCAGACCATGGAGCTGAACTCTTCCCCAGGCTGAGGGACTCACTACCTTGTTCCAGACCATGGAGCTGAACTCTTCTCCAGGCTGAGGGACTCACCACCTTGTTCCAGACCATGGAGCTGAACTCTTCTCCAGGCTGAGGGACTCACCACCTTGTTCCAGACCATGGAGCTGAACTTCTCTGATCCCAGTCAGCCAGAGGCTGCGAGGGACTCACCACCTTGTTCCAGACCATGGAGCTGAACTCTTCTCCAGGCTGAGGGACTCACCACCTTGTTCCAGACCATGGAGCTGAACTCTTCTCCAGGCTGAGGGACTCACCACCTTGTTCCAGACCATGGAGCTGAACTCTTCTCCAGGCTGAGGGATTCACCACCTTGTTCCAGACAATGAAGCTGAACTCTTCTCCAGGCTAAGGGACTCACCACCTTGTTCCAGACCATGGAGCTGAACTCTTCTCCAGGCTGAGGGACTCACCACCTTGTTCCAGACCATGGAGCTGAACTCTTCTCCAGGCTGAGGGACTCACCACCTTGTTCCAGACCATGGAGCTGAACTCTTCTCCAGGCTGAGGGATTCACCACCTTGTTCCAGACAATGAAGCTGAACTCTTCTCCAGGCTAAGGGACTCACTACCTTGTTCCAGACCCTGGAGCTGAACTCTTCTCCAGGCTGAGGGACTCACCACCTTGTTCCAGACCATGGAGCTGAACTCTTCCCCAGGCTGAGGGACTCACTATCTTGTTCCAGACCATGGAGCTGAACTCTTCTCCAGGCTGAGGGACTCACCACCTTGTTCCAGACCATGGAGCTGAACTCTTCTCCAGGCTGAGGGACTCACCACATTGTTCCAGTCCATGGAGCTGAACTCTTCTCCAGGCTGAGGGACTCACCATCTGATTACATCATCATCATTTCACGACTACACCTGTTGCCTCTGTATCTGGCTTAGGAAGCCTACTGTGTAGGCAAAAACGTTTTAAAAATAGATACCTAATTGTTGCACATGTGTCATAATCATCAATTATTAATCTTGATAAAATACAAACTTATAAAGCATTAATTACAATTTCCAGATAAAAAATATAAGTAAACCAGCTGTTCTAATTTTTGTGGAAAATTAATCAATGATCCACCAATCATTTAGATCAGTGGTGCTCAACCTTCCTACATAAGTGAGCCACATTTGACTGTCAAATGTGTGATGAGAGCCGCACGGTTTTGTTGACACTGTGCTATGTTGAACTTGCTTGAAAGTGGATTCATAATTTCATGTGAGGACTGCATCCATTTCCTAGAAGGGCCACAAGCTGGGGACCCCTGATTTAGACAACTGAAACCCGATTTTTTAACACACCGGTCATTTTCCACTGAAGCAGTGTGACCTGACAATGAAGAAACACTTTCATCGTTCACTCTATTACTGTTTTGCCAAAGGCATGCCTACACTAAAGTTAAAATCTGCAACATCAACACCTCTCTTTCAGAATGAAAACACTGTATACTTCCCACCTCCAGGATTCAAATCTGACTAACCGGTTTCCTTGAATCCCTTCATAAATGTTACTCACACTCCAACAGCATGTCAAGTCATAAAAACCATTTGTCTCCACTCGCTTCGATTTAACACGCACAGGAACACTTGCTGGAAGTCCAAGCCCTTCACACACAAAACCTCCTTTGCCCCCTCCAACCTTTCCTAGGCCAACCTCTACCCCCACCTTCCATCCATTACAGATTTATACACCCTCCAAGTAATTCTATTATGTTCCATCCTATCTAAATATCTGAACCACCTCAATAACCCCTTCTCAACCCTATGGATAATACTTTTAGAAACCCGCACCTCCTTCCAATCTCCAAGTTACGGATTCTCTGCATTATATTCACACTGCACATTGTCCTCAGACACGACATCTCCATTGCCTCCAGCCTTCTCCTTGCTGCAACATTCACCACCCACACTTCACTTCTTCTCCAGGTGCCAACACCCTCCCATTCATCCTTACTACTGCACCAGCATTACCATCATGGTGCCTAGAGACGATCATCATTTGCGTTTTCTCAGGTGCAAATGTTACTTTCCATCTATTTCCCCAAGCTGATATAGCTCTCAGCTGGTGATTGATGTAGCTTAGAGCAGCTGGCATTTCTTCTCTTGAATAAGTGAATGTCAGTGTACAGTCGTCTGCATATGCATGTGATTCTGGGATGAGATGAAGAAGGTCGTTGAAGTAGACATTCATTCATTCTCATTCTCATTCTCTCTCTCATTCTCTCTCTCTCTCATTCTCTCTCTCTCATTCTCTCTCTCTCTCTCTCTCTTTCTCTCTCTCTCTCTCTCTCTTTCTCTCTCTCTCTCTCTCTCTCTCTCTCTCTCTCTCTCTCTCTCTCTCTCTCATTCTCTCTCTCTCATTCTCTCTCTCTCTCTCATTCTCTCTCTCTCATTCTCTCTCTCTCTCTCATCTCACTCTCTCTCTCTCTCTCTCTCATTCTCTCTCATTCTCTCTCTCTCTCTCTCTCTCTCTCTCTCTCTCTCTCTCTCTCTCTCTCTCACAGGTACACATAAGTTATCATACATAGTATAAATTACCTAGGATAACCAAAAAAATCCAAAGTGCTATACAGTGGATCTGTGCTCCAGTGCCCTAAATTAATAATAATATTAATAACCATTATTATTATTACAATAATACATATGTACTAATATTAATAATAATATTATTAAGCTATAATATAATAATCGTGTCCACTCGTTACTTACCTTAAAATACCTGTAGTCTTAGTGTAGAGTGAGAGGTGAGTAAACAAGATTAAATGAATAAATGAGAGTGTAGAATGTTCACGAGTTATGTAAACAAACGTTGTTGTTGTTGTTACCAGCCCGGACACGAATGGTTCCTGTTCACTCTGTCAAGCCGACCAGAAAAACATCTCAAATTTGTTAATTTATATGTTTATATGTTATGTAGCATGTTTATTATATAATTTTGAAAAAAAAAAATCATACATGGATTAAGCAAAATGTCTATATTAACGTTTTATACACATTTAATGCGCCTCAGTGATTATTATTGTTATTATCATTATTAATATGGTATCTTCAAAACCAAGTACACTCTTAATGAGTGGCTCTGAGACAGACAAGCAGACAGAAAGACATACAGGTAGACAGAAAGACAGACACACAGGTAGACATAAAGACAGACACACAGGTAGACATAAAGACAGACACACAGGTAGACAGAAAGACAGACACACTGGTAGACAGATAAACAGACACACAGAGATACAGACAGACACAGATATACAGGCAGACAGATACAGACAGGTTTATGTGCAACAAAGAAAACAAATAGAGTGTTCAAGAGTAAGAGCCTTTCTTGCCACAATCTCCAGTGCAAGATTCAGACTTCATCTTAGGGGCCACGGTGAAATTTACTGTCCAGTTAGTACAGTTAACACAGTATGATGCTGCTGATAGGGCAGGGTTACTCAAACTGATGCTGCCTGCATGACACATTACCGCCACGAGTATTGTCAAATATTGTACAGTGGACCCCCGCATAGCGACCTTAATCCGTGCAAGAGGGCTGGCTGTTATGCGAAATGTTCGCTATGTGAATTAATTTTCCCCATAAGAAATAATGGAAATAAAATTAATCCGTGCAAGACACCCAAAAGTATGAAAAAATTTTTTTTTACCACAAAAAAATGTTAATTTTAGTACACACAAACTGAAAAAGGCATGCACAATTACATGACACTTACTTTTACTGAAGATCTGGTGATGATTGATGGGATGGGAGGAGGGGAGAGAGAGTGTTAGTGTTTAGAAGGGGAATCCCCTTCCATTAAGACTTGAGGAGGCAAGTCCTTTTCTGGGGTTACTTCCCTTCTTCTTTTAATGCCACTAGGACCAGCTTCAGAGTCACTGGACTTCTTTCGCACAACATATCTGTCCATAGTGACCTGTACCTCTCGTTCCTTTATGATTTGTCTAAAGTGGTTCACAACATTGTCATTGTAACAGTCACCAGCACGGCTTGCAATAGCTGTGTGAGGGTGATTTTCATCAAAAAAGGTTTGCACTTCAAGCCATTTGCACACATTTCCTTAATCTTTGAAGTAGGCAATTCCTTCAATTTCTCTCTCCCCTCCTTTGAACCAGTTTCCCCAGGTCTGGCCTCTTGCTCTTGAAGTTGATCTATCAGCTCATCAGTGGTTAGTTCTTCATTGTCCTCCTCCACCAACTCTTCCACATCATCCCCACTAACCTCCAACCCCAAGGAC